TTCAACGAGCGCTGATCAAGTGAATTCTTTCTTGCCTTCGTCGTGTCCTTAAGCATCGATTATCGTCGTCGGTGAAGCAACAGCAGGAAGTTCGAAGCTGTACGATCGCATTTAATAGAGCTGTTACTTTCAGCCGTAGCTCCTTACCGGTTCCGCTTGATACTCTCTTCGCATCTTTTATCTTTGTTTGAGGAGATACATAACGTCTAGCCAGACATTAAGTATACAAGGATTCTTCATTGTGAAAGAGTACTATTATCGAGATATAAGCCACGTGAGGTGTGTGAAGAAAATATTGTAAAAAGAAATCTTCTTTGACAATATCTTGTTATGACATTTATTACAATATTTATGGGAGTCAATAGAGAAGTTGTAAAAATGAAGAAACTAAAATTTCTTAATCTTTCTAGTTTTAACGGTTGAATGAAGTAGAATTTCAGTAAAGAATTGTAAATTTAAAAATAATTTGAAGATATGTATGTAACATGTATGTAGATATTGAACAACTTTCAAATATTCAATTCAAGTATACATATAATAATTACACTTTATATTAAACACGTGTCACTGTATTTTAGAATGTATTATGTAAGGATAGTGTTGGTCCAGCCTTGCCAAGTCACATGAGGTGTGTGAAGAAAATATTGTAAAAAGAAATCTTACTTGACAATACCTTATTATGATTTATGGGAGTAAATAGAAAAGTTGTAAAAATGAAGAAGCTAAAATTTGTTAATCTTTCTAGTTTTAAGATTTGAATATACAATAACATTGAAAAGAGTCAAATGAAGTAGAATTTCAGTACAGAATTGCAAATTTAAAAGTAATTTAAAGACATGTATGTAACATGTATGTAGATATTGAACAACTTTCAAATTTTCAATTCAAGTACATATATAATAATTACACTTTAATTTATGTTAAACACTCGTCACTGTATCTTAGAATGTATTATATAAGGGTAGTGTTGGTCCAGCCTTGCTAAGTCACATGAGGTGTGTGAAGAAAATATTGTAAAAAGAAATCTTACTTGACAATACCTTATTATGATTTATGGGAGTAAATAGAAAAGTTGTAAAAATGAAGAAGCTAAAATTTGTTAATCTTTCTAGTTTTAAGATTTGAATATACAATAACATTGAAAAGAGTCAAATGAAGTAAAATTTCAGTAAAGAATTGCAAATTTCAAAGTAATTTAAAGTAAATATTAACAACTTTCAAATTTTCAATTCAAGTACATATATAATAATTACACTTTAATTTATGTTAAACACTCGTCACTGTATCTTAGAATGTATTATATAAGGGTAGTGTTGGTCCAGCCTTGCTAAGTCACATGAGGTGTGTGAAGAAAATATTGTAAAAAGAAATCTTACTTGACAATACCTTATTATGATTTATGGGAGTAAATAGAAAAGTTGTAAAAATGAAGAAGCTAAAATTTGTTAATCTTTCTAGTTTTAAGATTTGAATATACAATAACATTGAAAAGAGTCAAATGAAGTAAAATTTCAGTAAAGAATTGCAAATTTCAAAGTAATTTAAAGTAAATATTAACAACTTTCAAATTTTCAATTCAAGTACATATATAATAATTACACTGTAATTTATTTAAACACTTGTCACTGTATTTTAGAATGTATTATAGAAGGATAGTGTCGGTCCAGCCTTGTTTCAAATTAAAGTTCCTGTCACTTGCACTAATCTTCATCTGAACCCTTTAACGATTAAACCACTTGTAACACAAATCAAAAGATTATCATTTACTTCCTTTTGTTATTTTCTTAAACTCTCAATCACAGAAAAGAACAAACGAATCAAAAGGAAAATAACTCACAAATAAAACCCACAAAAGGGATAATTTTTCCCCTGGAAAGGCGTGAAGACGCGTCATGTATGATTCGGAATTTCAATGGAGATTCCGCGTTCGCGTAACGGAAAATGCATCCAGCGAAATTGAAGAAATGGTCGATAGGATAACTCGCAGGGCAGTTTTGCGGCGTGGAGCGAAGATAGTACGGGCAGAAGGTACCGCGAGGAAAAAGAAAACAGGCTGGGTTCCGGGTTCGATTCCCAGGGCTGACTCGAGAAACGTTGCTTCTTCCTCCGACCGATCTAGATTGAGAGGAACGAAGGCGCCTACCGACTAGAAACACGAGCTGGTAGCAGTAAATTATTATAGTAGGATGATTTCATGGGCAAGGGTCAAACGAGCCGAACGAAACAACGGCTATTATACCAGTCGGACGATGATCAAGACGTCGCCTCAAATCGGAAGTTCATCAAACTTTTTCATTGTTTGTATCGTGTTTGGTATCGTAATGACTGGAAAACACAAGTCTACATGTATGTAGATGGAAATGCATTTCATGATCGTGAGGTGGATGTAATCTTTGTGTAAGGCGTTTGTTACAGGGCGTGTAAAAGACTTTGTGCAAGATTGAGGTACTTGCAGGTGTATCTTTATGAAATTGTGCTTGTAATGTTGTGGGACAAAGAGTCGTGAAAAGGAGGCGATGGTAATAAGAATCGAAGAGGAGATTGAATTCGTGATTTGAAATGCAAAGTAGAAGAGTATTATACAATACGTTTTCTGTTCGGCAATTTTCACAAGTTTAGCGGGTTAATTTTCCATCAAGTGCATAATTTCTTGCCATTTAACTCTATTGAATTTCAGGCGCATATGTTCCTGATTCTTCTCGAGAAACATATATTTTGAACGATGAACAGGAAAAATTAGATGCTCCATGAATAAAAGAAATGTAAAGCGTATAAATAAGGTTGCGGTTTCAATACCTAAAGTTTCTTTCGTTAATCTTTATTTCGAAAATGTAAATCGATGTTAAAACGAAGAATATGGTTCCAGAGCGATTTTCTTTACGAGAAAAATAAAATGTAAAAATATAGAATAATTGCAAGTGGTTGATTATCAGAATTCGTAGGATCTTATAGAATTTAGACAAATGGAGCTACTACACGCCAATCATCTATCATAAAAACACAAAAACAATAACCTAACATTTTCTCTTGTATTAAACATGTCGGAGGATCTACGAAACGGTACACCAACTTCCTAAATCACGAAGTCAACATTACTCATGAGAATTACGTGAACAACGATAAGAAGGAAGAAAGACGGAATTGTAAAGTGAAACTGTTCATTTGCAGGAATTCTTTGACCGGGTCAAATTATCTCTGACAATGGTGTCGCAGATAAAAATTTTCCTCTGAAAACGCTAAGGCAAATAATTCGTAATTCAGCCAAACTGCTTGTTCTATTATCGTTCGCTTGGCCATCGAGTTTAAAACAGAAGGAAAGGACGACAGCTCGGCGAACCTGGCCTCTAACATCCAGCAAGAGGTCGATCGAAACCCACGATAGCCCGGTTGACGCTGCATCTTGCAGCGAATAATGCAACAGTTACCGTGGTTCGACTTCTGGGACCATTGTTTCTCGGCTGTGCGAACTTTCAGGGCCACCAATGTATAAAAGAACAAGACACGCTTCTGTTTCAAATGATTCTTCGCGTGGAATTCTATTTTCAGACGATTTAGGAACAATATTGTTGTATTGAGAAATTACAGTTCGCGTTACATATTGCTGCTCGAATATTGTACATTTTCTGTATCTATAACTTGTATAATGTAATAATATTTAAAATAGACTTTGTTGTAGAACGATTAATCGATCGAATGTATAACAAATAATTTTTCCAGTAATGTTATACCGCCTTTTTATAGATCATGTTTCCATGGTTAAAATACATATAATATGCACATGCTAGTTATGTAATTGATTATTAGATTTATATTATCGCAACGATTTTATTAAAATCTATTCTAAATCTAATTATCTTCATTTATATATTTCTTCAAATATTTTGAAGCAATAAGAAGTTGAAGATGTCGAATGTGAAAAGAGATTTACTCCGCTCTAATGATAATCCACAGTTGAAGATACTAATTGTAAGCTTACAATCGATTCAACTCGAACTCCTTTGCAACTCGTTTGCGTTGCCAGACCTTGGATAAAGAGGGATTTCACGGAGATTGTAGGTATTCTCTGTACCGTGATTTGTAACGAGATTAACCGCATTGAACTTGTTGTACATGCTTGTTATGTACGTGGTTCAAGAACAGATTACCATTCAGGTAATCCGAAAGGTTGCAGTAATTTTACCAATCCATCAAACCGTCCCGGACATTACAAACAGTACACAGACATCTTATGCATGTTTTAAAGAAATTTTGGTAATATCCTATAAAATATTTTTTGAATACGTCTTCTGGATGTTCTGTGACACAAATTAGAACGTCTTGAGGAAGAAGTTAGGTTTGAACTGTACAGAAAGCTTTTCGTACTATGTATTGTTGTAATATTTATCGATCTTACTCATGTTAATGAGAAAAATACTTAATTTTTTAAGATAATTATCTGATACGATATTTTTAATTACTTTTTTTCGAAACTTGTATCATTCTCGCATCATGCAATTTTAACTGCTTCAAGACCGAACCTTTTTTCAACAGCAGAACAAATTTTATTTGCAATTATTAACAATAGAAACACTCATTTTTTGATGCTTTTGCAAAGAAAATATAATGCACTAAAATAGAAAAAATATATTTATTGTTTACTTGGTGTGGGCATAAAATGTCAGTCTGAGTTATAAACAAAGCTCGTAAAATGCTTTATTAGTTAATTATATCTCGAATCTTTTATAAATAACAAAGTTGATGTTGCTTAGGAAAAAAGAACAGAAAAATCAGATTGATCAGCGTACGCGTAACATACGTAAGTCTCGTTTAAAGATTACACGCACGCAAGAGCGACGCATCAAGCGTGCCGCCAGAAGGGGACTCGTATTCACTTCGCTGGTACACAAACAATTACGTTTAATGAGTCGGTATTTAGTCATTTCTGCGGCTTTGTGCCCTAGGTCGGGTTTCAATTGTTTGGTTTGCTGCAGTGTCATTGTCAATGAGATTTCCCGTAAAACATGGCCTCCTCCGTGAATAAAAACGCGATGTTCAAATTAAACACGAGTTTACCTATTCAAAAACGCAACATATGGACAGAGAACTTGAGAGAGTTACAGACGCTATTAATGCAGGTCAATCTTTTTTTCGAAATTGAGTTACGTATTTTATATTGGGTAGGAGATTTAGAATCAATTTGTTTCGTTTAAGTCTCCGCTTTTGACAAATCTAATTTGAAACTTGTTAACACTAGAACTTACACACCAGTCAAATTGATTGGTTTTACAATTTTATTTTAAAATTCCTACTTCGTGTTATATTTTTTCCGCAATGATGTAACGACTTTCGCGTATAATAATACAATGAATTTTATTTTCTTTTTTATGTATTCAAACTGAAAATAATTTTGTATCAAGGCTACTTATACCAATACCAGGCAAAATGAGTGGTACTTGTCAAAGCGTAAAAGGGTCCTGCAATCAGTTTATCGAACCCCAATTAACCAGTTTCCTCGTTTTGTACGGCTTCCCACACGTTTTTCAAATTTTTACCGCGTATCATTCGATACGATGATATCAGTTATCAGGAAAATTACTAGAAATACCACTGCAGTTAAAATAACTGATTCTACAATTTTATAAATGTGTCAACCCTCGTTTAGGGATCATGGTCGCAGATGGATTAATAATACGAAAAATGTACTACATAACATGGAATTGCTTCTGTAAGAAAGTAATAAATCAATAAATATAAAAATATTCTATTATTACGTATTTTTTAAAGACCAGCCACTTTGACTGCTTTTTTGGTAGAAATAGTTTCTTCGTGTTAACTATCTGTAGTTCTAGTGTTAAATATACGTGAACTCGGCTAATTTCGATGATAATTAGCCAGAGATTATTTTATATATAGTGGAATATAATCGCACAAGTAACTCAAATTTGTAGATTAAAATGTTTTAAAATGTTTTTATTTGTAGATTTAATGTTTTAAGGAATTAGTCTCGTGCATGCATTTTTTAATTCATTTTCCTCGTAAACGAAAATTTGATTTGACTTTGACTGTTTGTTCACTTTTTCGACCTGCTTTCCATATAAAATGACATTCTGTTGGTTCACTTATACCCAGTATAGAAATAGCCAAGTTTACATTTGACAAATTTGCAACTCTCTAAAGCGAGGCTTGAGTCAAAAGAATTCTATTCAGTCGCTCAACTTATTCTTCCACACGGAGTGTGGAATCCGATTGTGCCACACTTGCCACACCCTGTCTGTACTATCTTACAGTTCTGTATTTATTTACCTCAGAAAAAGCTACAAAATTTATCAAATTCCATAACGTGTATAGAAAATGAAAATGACAATCGCTCAAAAACGGCTTGACAGATATATTTAAGAATGATTAGTCGGACATTTTGTTAGAGAATCATAAAGATTTGAAGAGTATCGTATAAAAAAGAGAGACTCGTGACCGGGTGTTAATACCGTTAAATCATTTTGTTTGGTACGTGGAAGAAGAATAAGAGCACCTAGTGTATAGTGAGAAATAGGCCAACGCGACCTGTTCGTTGTTTGATAAGCAAATTAGATAAAAATCCGCGGAGATGGATCTCGCGCAAGAAGCTCGTTAAATTTATCAAAAGAAGATAATTAAGATACGTATTTCGTTCACAGGGACCTGCAGAGAAGTTCACCGTTACGTCGTTTACGTTACAAAACGCGTAATAGGTAAAGCATGCCGCGCTGTTACGAGACGATGAACTGATAACAACACAAAGGATTTCTGAAATAAGAATAAGTAAAATTCTCGATTGTGCGCGTCAATATTTCAGCAGATGACATTCAGACAGAACTATAACGATAAAGTTCTTCACATTACCATTCTCAAGATCAAGTCAGTGATGTTAATAAATAAAAAGTCTGCAAAAGAAAAAGGTAGTACAAGTGACAAAACTTTCGATTTGAAGAAACTGACTGAAACTATAAAAATTAATATAAACATCTGTATGTTAGCAAACTTTAAAGTCTTAGAACTTCATAATTCATGATAGAATCCTTTGTCAATAATTTCTCAACTTTTCTTAACATTTCTTGTTTTTCATGGAGGAAATCTTCATGAACATCTCGCAGTCTCTAGGGGAGGATGCAGAGTATAGTGGTGGTTTCCTATCGGTTAAAATTTCTATGATGTTCTATCTAAATACTTCAGGAGCCGCAGGGACTCTGAAGGAATGCATCGCTAATACTCAACTCAGGGAATATGGAAGATATTTCTAACATTGGGAAAATCCAAAAGAACCGAGAGAACTGCACGAAGCCATAAACCTGAGTGAAAACGAAAACCGTTGGTGCCCTCCGACACGCGGAACCATCTTATGCAACGTTCTCCCCGATGTAACCGGTATCGTCGACAATTTCGTCAATTTCCGCAGATACCGATCCCGTTACGTGAAAACAGACGGTTCGCGGAAACGTTCTCTGCGAACGGTAGCCTGTTCGCATGTTCCAGGCGATGCATCGCCATGTGTACCAAACCTAACTCGGTCCATTTATCAATTCCCTGTTGGCTCATCGGTAGTACTCTTAGCCTAATTATTATTTAGTAGTAGCATCGTATCAATTAACCTTTGGTGCTCGTAAACGAACGATTTCCTTTCACGTCACTGATCGAGACGAGGAACAGGATCGAGCACGAAACTCTTCCAACGAAGGTTCCTTAAGCAGCATCCTCACGGGGGCAACAACGAGGAACTTTTTGTTGATGTATTATGGTTTTTGAAAAAATTGATGGTTATTAGTTAATGTGTGTTGATAGTAACAAAAATTATTTGTTTCCGTTTGGAGGCAGATTTTGGCGGAAAATAGGGAACACGCGGCGATACTTTAAGATGGAAACAGATGAGTAGTTCAGAGGCCTGTATACGTTAAAAAATAGGAAAACGTCATTCTTTAAAATTCACATTCGAATTTACAATTATCTGTACGCTTCTCTTTCGATAAATAAGTTCATGGAAGTGAATATGATACAATTTTTAAGACATTGTATAGCAATTATGTTTCTGAGCAAAGTACAGTTAATTAGTTTGGCTTCTGAGAAACTCAAACGATCTTTCAATGTTCACAGTTCGTAGACTGTTTCACAGTTGCTTGCTTGTTTGCTTGAAACAAATTGTCACTTTGAAACCGAAATGACAAAATGTTTCTACAGGTTGATACTTGTTGAGTATTGCTTGAAACATACAACAAACGATAGACTACAAAATGTACAAAATTGTTGCTTCAGTGAGGATGCATCTTTATCGTAAATTATTTCTCTTCTTTAACCGCTTATTTCGCTCGTCTAATTGAAATACGATGTTGAAGCTGGCATTCTCAGGCTGATGGAAAACTAAGACGATAATCACGGGATTATCGTATCGGTATCAATTATTCGTGGATTTCTTGGTGGAGCGAAAACTAATGACGTCACGCCATAGGTCCAACGGAACGCGAGCGCAGGCAATTAACGAGTCATGGGAAATTCAGTTGAAAAATAAAGATTTCTTTCCCGGAAATAAGGGACTTCTTCTCTATTACGGAATTCTTTCTGGTGGCGTACCGGTCTCTTTCTCTTTCCAACAGTTCGACGATTTCCCTGGCGAGGATGCGCCCGGTGCCGTTACACGAGTGCGAAACGGAATCTTCGCGGAAACGCTGCTCAAAGCGACAGTAGTTCCTGCCGAACAATGACCCTTTTTATTATTCTTCACAACGACCAGAAAAATCTGCCGTTTTGTCGTTTGTTCGGAGGTTGATGTGTTACTTAAGCTTTGCGTTGGCGATATTACTAATTTCTTGTTCGTTAATTATAAGAATTATGTAGAGTGTTCCGTTCGCACAATGTATTTCTAGCTATGTATTGTAACTTTTGTATTTATTTGTATTTAACTTTTAAATTTCTATTTAACAGTTAACTGTATGTTTAGCTGTATGTATTTATAACTTTTTAACCAAGTATTGGATTAATAAAAAAGTACTATCAGTCTTGAATCATGCTACGAAAAGCAATTCCAAATGGCTCGTATGTTATAGTTTTCGATAGAATCATTTTATAAATTGCTATTCTGTATTTATTAGGAAACTGATCGTAAATTAAATTAAAAATTTGGATATCTTTAATAAGTGCAATCTACGAAGCATATCACTAGTTTGGATTTCAAAATTTCGAACGTTAATACGAAGAGAAGCACGAAACACATCGACGTGATAAACGAAATAGGATTAATGAAAAGCAAAAATAACAAAAAAAAATAAGTTATTGTTATGCAATAAAGAGATAGCTATCGGTGCCTGTAGCATCTACATGATACGAGGCAAATCATTTTTTCTCGTTACCAAAGATCATCCTCGTGGACCGATTTGTTCTTGCGTTGATCATTTTCTAACGATGGTACCATCATATTGACATATTATACACCATACCGTTCACAGTTAAATGTACCGAGTACCTGGCGATGGCGTAATGCTCCATAATGACAACAACCTGTACAATCGCAGATCGACACGTGCGATTTCGCTTCCCGAATACTTGAACCACGTTCGTTTTGACAAATCACGCTTCTTTCGCAATTAACGATTTTTCTGATATTTGCAACTTTGTTCGTTCTCTCGAATCTAAAATCTTCGTAAAAAGACAAACCATCGCAGGAAAATATTTCGTACGAATCGGCAACTTCCTAGAGTCTGTTCGAACGAAACGTTTCGATTCGAAATGCTCGATTCTGTTCATCCGCTCTCGACACCCAAAGCGTTTCTCTCGGGCGGTCCGTTTCAAGTAGCATACTAGCGCAACTTCAAAAACACCTACGACTCTGTGAAGAAGATGGTTCGCGAGAGGAACGAAAAAACTTGTGAAAAAGACGAGGACGAAGGAGCCTGGGGGTCCGGAATGTCGCGCTCCGATTGGCCAACTGCCGAACCCATGCTATCTCGGATTGGACCCAGCTACGTTTCCCCACCTTCGTTGGAAATTCACTTTTTACGGACGTTATTACAAAACTGACTGGCATCTCCTAGACCATGTCATTATTACTTAGTACTCCACACGGCGAGGATCCTCTCACGAGTACCCACCTCCACCACTCCACTATCACCATTCACCACCACCACCACCACCACCACCACCTCCACCACCATCTCCACCACCGTCACAATCATTCGTCCACCACCGTCGTCACCACTTCCACCATCTCTTCTACCTCCACCGCCGTCACCAGCACCACCACCACCGCCTCCACCTCGGCATAACCTCTTCTATTTCTACTACTCTTCGTCCTCCTCCTCCTCATCTTCCCACCTTTCGCAGCCGTGGAAGACGAGCAGCCACGCGCGGATATCCTGGCAGAGTGTTACGGAGAACGGAGAACAGTGGCACAGAACGCACGTTGCTCCATTTTCGTGGATTGCGCGTAGGAAGCCCGTTCTCTTCTCTTTATCCTTCTACTCTTGATCGGTTCTACTGACGCGCGCCTCTATTTTGACTTTCGGTAGAAAGAACACAACCGTATATCGAGACTCAGCGATCCTTCGTTTCGTGCACCAATTGCAAACACAGAGAACGTAACAGAAAGGAGGAAATTTTTGTAAATCTCGACGAAGAAGAAAAGAAATATTATTGAAATAAAAATCCGATACGTTGCAATCGACGATAGATCGATACGATCGGTAGAGTCGTATTGTTACGATACGTTTTGTTCGACGTCGGGTGTTCTTCTCCTTCCGTTACAGTGGAAGTGGATCGTCTGCCGCAACCAGACAGTGGAAACGGACCGTTCGTGGCGCGGCTAAACGGAAACCGGTGGTGAACGGGTTCTACGCGGCCAACGACAGACATAGTTCGTTAATATACACGCGTATACACGTGCACAGACACGCGTGATATTACGTTAGCGAGCGCTTTCGATTTCGACGAGAGGGAAGACAGTGCAACTGGTGATTCGTGAGAGACCCTGTTCCAGTGAGTTTCCAGGGACTGGTTCCTCAGCGACGAGGGCGAACGAAGGTCTTGCAGGTCCGTGGAACCGAGCAGCGCGTCATGGCTGCCACGAGGATGGACTGGAAGTTTAGATTGTAAGTGATTATTTTTATTACTTCGCTCTAGTTGCTTAAGGGGACGCTTGACAACGAGCAGGCGCGATCAACAGTGCACACCGCCAACTCTGTGCATCGAATCCCTCTTTTCGTCTTTTTCTCTCATTTCCTCTGGACCCTCGTCACGGAGTCTGTCGTTCTTTCCGAAAACGGCACCTTTCTCGCGAGAAATTATGCGTATTGGTTGAATGTTTTTTTAAACGTCGAGATTGATGATCGTCGCGCTTGGTGGTGCACGTGGTGGTGCAACTTTCCTTTCGCAAGGTAAATGTCCTTTCTAGAATACGATTATCTATCATCGCTTGTTTACAAGAAAATGTAAGCTGTGCCTTCGTTTCAAGAATTTGAAGCGTAAGAAAGCTGTTTGGAAAGTTCAGAACTTAAGGACAACGTATGTATTTTATAAATCAGTATTTTATTCTTTCGACAAATGTTTATTATTTATCGTGCAGCTTCATTGTTTCTTCCTTCAAGTAATGTTCACAGATTTCTAAAATATTCTTTTTCGTCATTATGAAAATAAATCAGAGTACAACAATTTAATAGAATAAATGACAGGAAGATTATGTTTCATTTTTATTTTTCTATACTTTATCGTTACGAAGGACTCAACCTCGTGTCGAACACACATCTTTTTTATTGATTAATTTCGAATGCTATGTTTGATTAACTAATTGCTACATATTTTATGTCCAGGTACATGGAAATAGTACTTTTCGAGTTTAGTATTTCCTATACTTATTATACAAGTTTTTAACAAGTTAGTCGAAGATGGCAAGTTGATTCTTTATCTTGTAATTGATAATCCTTTGGACCTAATATTACAATCTTTTTACTTAAGAAAGCTGTTTCGTTTGTGTTAAAAGTAAATTTCAATATATACGTAGATTTATTCGCATGTTCGAATAGAACAGATGAATATTTCGGACAGTTGCTACGAAACACGATTAATCTTAATTTAAATGGCAAACAAAACGTGAAAAAATGTTAATTCATACGAAAGAACGGTTTAGAAAAGGAAACAATTAAACGATGGATTAATAACCACGCGGCGAGTCGATGGGATCGGCGGATTATTCCTTGGTATCGCATTAAAGTGCTGATTGCCCGCTCATTTACGGGAAATAAGGAATAATCGTTCGTCCAGCGTTTTCGCCGCGATCTTCTCAGCCGATATGAGAACTGTTCGATCACGAGGCAACCGAACAGAAGGGGAGGAACGATGAAAAATAACATAATCGATTAGAGGCGGAATTATCGACCGTGAAACGCCGCATATCTCGTTTATCTATTATCCGTTTCCCTTGCCTCTCGATCTTCCAACAACTTGCGATCGTTTCGCGCCGAAGTAAATAATAATTGGTATTTTCAGATACCAACATCGTCCTTACTTTCGTTGACTGATCTACGATGGAAATCATCTTTTCCTATTTGTCTTCTAACTGACGATTTAACAGATTAAAAATATGAATTTCTCATTGAGTGAAAAACACTGTTGGTACGTGTATGACTAAGCCGTGGATCTTTACGCAGACTCATATTTTTCTAGTAAGTAAAGTAATAAAATTGCCCTAAATATTATAATTAAACCGTGGGTGTTTATGCAATTTTACATTTTGCTAGAAAAATGTTTATTTCACTGAATACTATACCATTGCAACGAATACTTGATATTATACATTTCTAACATTATTTGCAATCTATACATTTTTGTATCTGTAAATTTCCCACAAATGCATAGGTGAGACACGTTACTTTCATTCGAGTCACTTTAGTTGCAAAATAAATGATTCGTAAAGAACGATTATGTCAGTAACAAACATTTTCTTGTACATTTCCGCGAATGACATAGTACAAATCTTTCTTTCATATGGTCATTGATGAATGACTAGAGAAAATCAGAACATTATATCAACAAAACGTTTCGATTATTAGTTACACTAAAAAATAGTATCTCCTTTTAATCAATCATGCACCTCGTTCGGGGTTGTAAAAAATTATTTCCATGACCGTACTAATCATAGCGTAGACGACGTTGTCGTGTAACGTACGTAAGTTTACGATTGTAGGTAAGAAACATTTCTTATTGAGTGGATAATAATTAGGTAATTATTACCGGTGAACGCGCACGGAAGGTGGCGTAATAAGTGGATCACGGAAACGATGGTTGTCCGAGCCAATGGAAAAACGATCGATCTCGCGGATCGTAGCGTTGGCCTTGATCTCTTGATCGATCGTCGTCGGTCGGTTCGTCGAGCGATCAAACGGGACATTAACCACAGCGTTGCGAAGAAATCGAGCGTTTGGTTTGAATGTGCCAGAGATAAGGAAAGATCGAGGGAAAAGATCTATCTGATCTAATGGTAATTTATGCATGCGTACGCCTAAATTATATCGATAAAGGTGGAACGTGCGCGATAGGAGATTAGTAATTAAAACTGACGCGCGCCTGTGTATATACGATCGTGTGATACGCGTTGAGAAATTGAATCATTAGCATCTGAAAGTTGCGTTACACGTTCCGCGAGAAACCAAGTGAAATACAAACACGCTAAGTATCGAGTAATTACAGCCTTGAATATCGGTTAATTTAGATCATTCATATAGAAGCTTGGAAACTGTAATATGTATTAGTAAATTTAGAACGAAGAAAATAGGGTTAAAGCGAAGAAGAAGTTATTTTGAAGTAATGTGTTAAGCATTAACTTTGATATAATTGCGCGGATGTGGATAAAACTGTAGAGAGGAAGAAATGGATAAAGTTGTTAGAGATGTTTGAGGTAGATTGATTGAAAAGTATACGTAATATTGAAACGAAAGAGAAAGTTGGTGTCCTGATGACAGAGAGGATAAGGATTCAGACTTTTACTTGCTAGGGTTTCAAACTGGATATGCCAAATGATTTTTCTACAGTTTCAATAAAATTAATAAATCCAATACAAACCTTTTACACGTCAGAGACCGTTTAGAAACCAATGATTTAATTAACTTTCACCCAAAACTGCTCATAAAAGAACACAATGCAATTCATCGAAAATTGTCGAACAATTCTGATTAAGATAATAGCAAAATATAGATACGAAAGAACAAGATATGAAACAGAAACCATCCCTAGATAACAGAAAATGTAGTTTCTCTAATTTTCGGAAATTCCATATGTACAAATTCTAAAAATCTTCTGTCCTTTACTAAACACTCAAATACTTGGAGGTAACACAGAGCCACGGGAACCTTGAATTCATGCAACGATACAAATCTCACGAGAAAAATGCTGCGCACGATCGGCTAGATGGTTGCGTACGAGGTATCTGAAATCGTGACAGGATACTCTCCAGTCCTTCCGTGGTATACGCAGCTCGATACACGAGCTATACCCGTCTAACGTAACATGCGCACAGATACGGACTTGCCGGAGGAAGAAGAACACGAAGCGACGAATACATCGGGTCCGTGGTGTGCGGTTAATTTACAGCTAGTTCTGCAGCTCGTATCCACCTCCTATCTCGAGCGCCATATCTTTCTATGACGTCCCTGTCAACCAACGCGGGATCGTAATCCCGGAAGCTCACTCTGAGATCTTGCAGATTGAGCCACGATCAGAAATTATAATGGGGTCGGTTCTTCCGGTCGATCAGTACTACTAACTGGCTAATTGGCTCCCGTAAAAATTCCTTGCGACCCACCGAGCCCGTATTTCGATTGCAGCCCCCGATCGGTCGTAAATCGAACAGATTTACAACTGCGAAGAAACGAGGGTATCAATCGACACAATGTCATTTTCGAGGTGGCAAAAACACACGCGTCTTCTACGGAGCGTATAATCTTCTTGGTTTTATGAGTGTGCAGAAATAAGACGAGAAACACGTATGGACTTGAATTCGACGTAAAGGCCGGAATTTTTCAGCGTAAAACTCGTCCGACACGGAAGAAGGTGCCATCTGTGGAATGTAGTCGCTGCTTTTACGATGCGCGCGATAAATATCGATAAGTGGTGTATGCTCGTTTAGCACGAGCTCCAATTCTTCGCGATGTTATGCGTGTTTTCCTACAGATAGGGACATCATGTTTGTCTAGTTTCTTCCCCGCTTACTGTGACGAATTATATCTTGATAAATCTCAACGGGAGATCGAGGACGTGTAATTCAGATTTC